GGCTTCGTCCCCGTGCAATAATAAACTACCTCAGAGTTCCTCATTTACTATTTATGAATGTTCAGTCATACTAATTCCCTCAGTGGCAAACCTCTGGATGAAAGGCTAAATATAAAATGATAATACACGCGTAGTTGCTAGTGGCGTGGTTGCTAGTGGCGTAGTTACTAGGGGCGTATCCAAAGGCTGAGTATTTTTGTTTACCATATATAAGAACACCTGATATCGGGACACAAGCCATCTGGGTGGTTAGTTTATCCAATGTTGGTGCAGGCGAAAACCGGAAATCGTGCTACGTCAGACATACATTTAAACCAGAGGCGAATCGAACCCTGGACTTGTGGGAGAGAAATACGCACGTTACGATATACAACCCAAGATCCAAGTGAACCCCTGCTGTTGGTTCGTCTCCTTCTCCCTGGCTGGATTTTCAACCTGAAGTTATTGCCCTCGGCGGACCGCTCCCGAAATCCCAGGTGAACCCTGTTATTCTCTGCAAATACCACCTCTCCAGGATCGGCCACTGGTCCCCAGGTAGGGTCGTCCTCTACACTGATGGTTCTGTTGACCCCGCTACAGGTCGGGCCAGGGCTGGTGTCTACATCTCCCGTCCTGATGCCCCTGAGCCTATGAAACTGTCTCTCAGAGTTTCTGACGGGGCATCCTTCACTCAGGCTGAACTAATAGCCCTCCTTGCTGCCCTTCTCGCTGAGGAAGAAGCAGATGGTTTCTGCCCCTTGCTTGTCTGCTGCGATTTCAGGTCTGCACTCGACGGGATCGCATTTGGATCAGGGGAAAATAAGGACCTCATCCTCCGTATACGAGGGTTAACATCCACACTTCAGAATGCAGGCCGTCCTGTGACATTCCTTTTTTACAGTAAATAAAGACTGTCAGTGTATGTTGAAAGAATCATAGAATGTAATTGTAAACTAATGTATAATTTCATTTCTCATTTGTTAATTTAATTAGGATTTTTTTGTCAATATATTTGGTTATGCTAAGTACTGCATAAGTTCATAACCAGGATGTCATCCAAGGTGAGCGCCAAACAAAATTTTCTAAAAACTTACTTTTCATTAAAGTAAGGCCGAAAGGTTGTATGAGAATGCAAATTAATTATATGTGAAATTGTGTAGTGTACACCTTGATAAGTTGATCATCATCTGATCTTGGCATGATGCTATTTGCTACCTATGCTATACAGTACTATAGTTTTTGGATTCGTTTAATACTTTCTGTCTTTTCGTGCAGTAAATAAAGATTATAAAGTGTATGTTGAAACTTGAATGTAAACTAATGTTTAATTTCATTTGTTCATTTAATTATTTGTGTACACCTTGATCATCATCTGATCTTGGCGTGCTATACCTTTTGGAAAGCTCTATGTCTAAGCTACAAGACAACATATGAAAATTTCAGCTCTAGGTCTGTTTTTAAGGGTTTTAGAGACCCCCCCCCCAAAAAAAAAGAAGCTAAATTCATACAATAAAAGTTAGCCGTTAACATTAGCTTCCGCTGATTGTTTTAGCTGTTTAGCGGTTTAGCGTTAGCGAAGTTAACTTTTTAGCTAGCAGATTAGCGGTTAGCGAAGCTAACTTTTCGTTTAGATGTGCCCACCACTGATCTTTCATCCTTCAGTTATCAGCCACCATCTTTCAAAATATCATATTCATTTTTCAGCTTTCATCACTTCCTTCACACATCCTTCATCCTGCCTTCCCTTTCCCTTATCATCCTTTGCTATAATCCTGAACATGGTTTTCTCTCGCAACCTTCCTTCGTCCTTCATATTCTCTCTCTCTCTCTCTCTCTCTTAACATTCTTTCTCCTCCTTCATTCAACTGCATTCATTCCATCGTACAGAACTGGCTCGAATCTGCTAAACACTGGTTGGAAGCACAGTATGAGAAAATTGGCTGGAACCACAGAATACTGGCTGGAACCTACAAAACACTGGCTGGAACCTACAGAACAATGACTGGAACCTACAGAACACTGACTGCAACCTACAGAACACTGACTGGAACCTACAAAACACTGGCTGGAACCTACAGAACAATGACTGGAACCTACAGAACACTGACTGGAACCTTCAGAACACTAGCTAAGACCTACAGAATACTGGTTAGAACCTACAGAACACTGCCTGGAACCTACAGAACACCCAGTCATATAGATAACGGTCACCTTCAAAAGTCCTGTCACCTTTCCTACTGAGCCACGAATCCCGATATTCAGTTTCATGAATCCGAAGCATTTATGGACAGAATAATGCATGTGTCTACTGGTGCTAACACTCAGTCATACAGGTATTAATGTTCAGTCATACAGGTACTAACACTCAGTCATACAGGTACTAACGTAGTAACGCTAAAGGGGTGTTGGTGGTACAGCGGTAACGAGCATAACACACCAATAAGTCAAGGATTCGAGCTTCGGCCCGGACACACGTGTGAAGGGTGTTATCCGGTGTGACCCTCACTACCAAACATCACAGGTTTCCCGGTCCCCGGTTTCCTCCTGTACTGGATAAACCGCCCAAAAGGATAGTAAGCTGATAAGTGGAGAAAATTATATTAAAAAAAATCAAAAGCACTCAGTCATAGAGCATAACAACCCTTCAGACAAGGCACAATAGGGCAGATCTCGTTTAAAATCCTGAAAGGGATGGGTAACGTGAGCCCCCTGGACATTTCTGTGTTATGCCACGCACCACCAACACGAGATGACATAACTACAAGCTCGCCAAGTTGTCATGCAGAATGAATATAAGGAAATATTTTTTTCACACAGTGTGGTAGACCGTTCCATAGGTCTACCAGCCCAAGCTGTGGAATCGAGAACAGAACTGGGCTTCAAAATAGCCCTTGACAAAACTATCAAAAACAATTGAGGCATCCTAAACAGGCCACTGGCCTCCTTCCCAGGCATGGCCAACTCTAGTGGGTAGCCATTAGGTAGGTAAATAAGGTACAGTACTGTACTAGCATTCAGTCATACAGGTGCTAACACTCAAGTCGTACAGGTGCTAACACTCAAGTCGTACAGGTGCTAACACTCAAGTCGTACAGGTGCTAACACTCAAGTCGTACAGGTGCTAACACTCAAGTCGTACAGGTGCTAACTGAGTCATAATTAAAGGCACATGCACAATACTAATAATCAGTCATAGGGATACAAACAATGGCAAAATATATGTGAAGGGAAAACATTTATAGCTTCAATAATAAATACAAGAATAATAAACAACCTGTGAACTTTGAAAACAATATTTATAATAATAAAAATAATATAATTGGTTTAATCTTTGAAATGAGTCTTGTATATTTTTTAGATACAAATTATTTTTACACACTGTACAGTATATTCAAGCATCAATGATATTCAAGAATAAATGAGTTATATCACTACAAACAATCCCTATTGTTATCATATTAAACTGACCTTATGCAGTAATCTTTACTGTATGAAGTACAGTACTGTACAGTATTTAAATACAACAGCCAAGTATAAGTGTTAGAAACATTAACACGTATAAGTGACGTTATTGTTGGGGGGTTGTATCTTTAGCTCTAAGATGTCTACAGTGTTTCATTACAGTTATAACCTTTATCACATGTGTAAATCTTTGACAATAATTATTGAACATTAAGTTTTAACAAACCCATATTCAAGGAAAATTAACCTTAACAGCTGAAGAAGACGATTCCTCTTTACCTGTTGGGCTGGTTGTCATGTCTCCTAATTAACTACAAGACGTTAAAAATAAATTTGTTTTGTAAATAATATAAGCAGGAGATAAATTGCTGAAATTATTTACACTGACGCCTTCTAGTATTAATATGTAGTTACCAAGTTAGTTTGTATTTTAACACAAATATAAACTGTTTCTGATAGTTACTACAAAGATAAACTAATAATATAAATCATTCAAATTTGTGTCTAACTTTTACTGCTGTATTATAAACAGTACAGTAAAAAAAAAACTTGTACATGACTTCCAAATGTCTGCATAATTATCCCTATTGGTATTAAAGTTACTTCATTTTATCCTCTTTGCCAATGATCGGCTCATTAGCTGCTTGGGCAGCCGGTTACGTCTGTGTTACATTATATCGTATTTAATAAATATACTAAGTTTTATTTAAACATCTGTATATACTATATACTCTCTGAGAAATGTTTTATTTTTATCACATTATATTTTTACAACAAACAACTGATAAATGTCACTGACGAGACCAGTAGTTACATGTACTGTACTGTTACAGACATCACTAGTGGGTCCTCAACAAGGTAGGTGTCACCTGGTCATTACCTCAAGTGTCTGACAAACACTCTTTATCATGTGTCTCACTTTATATGCAGGATGACATCATCAGTCATATAACATTAAAGAAGCTTGTCACACTTATTTCAACTACAAAAGTACTATGGTAATAACACTTGTTTAACAACTTTGTCTCAAAAATATACAGGTATATACAGTAAAACTCCCCAAGGTCGGAAATACGGCTAAGTCGGACTCAGTCTGAGTTGTCGACGCATATGCCGAGTTGTAACCAGCCACATGGTGCAAAACCAGTCTCTCACCAACCGTCGTGACACCTGAATTGCCGGATAATGTGATGGCATCCAGCAGTAATTTCAGTGATTAAATAGTGACTACTGTACAGTACAAATATTAAAGTGATTAAATTTAAGTTTAGTGAAACTAAGTTTACCCTGTGGTATAATCAAGCTTGGTGTAATCAGTGCCAGATTTAGATCTGTGGAGGCCCATGGGCACCCCTTGTGGAGGACCCCCTCATTATAACTACCCAAGAGGGTGGGGTGGAGAGTGAAGCGAGCCTAAACATCTGCTAGAGTCCTGGGGCGCTATAAGCCCCCCGGGAAAATTTTAAAATTTGAACACTTCTTTGGAGAATTTTGAAGCCATATGCAGTTATATTGAGGAAATTAGAACATATTGTAATATGTGGAGGCCCTCAGATTGTGGAGGCCCCTGGGCAGCTGCCCACTTTGCCCACTCCTGAATCCGGCACTGGGTGTAATACAGTACAGTATAGTAATGTACATAAAGGGGTATTTCTTCTTTAATGTTAAGCTTGTCAGAGTAGCCAAAGTGCAGTGCCTCTCCCCACCCACCAATCATATGGGAAAAGGTAAGTGCCCTGGAGTGTTCAATTGTAATTATTTCTTTTAATATAAAATATACATATCATTCTTTAGGGTTTCCATAAGTTTTAAGACAACATTTTGGACATTATGAGGCGCTAATAAAGGTTATTTCTAAGGTGGACTATTAGTAAAGTCAGATTGGCTTAATCCATATACATACACTACAGTATAATCCGACTAAGGGAAGTTTTACTGCACTTATCTTCGTAAAGATCAGAATGCAGTTTTAGTAAAATAAGTCACAACTGTGGCCTCAAGATAGGTACTGTATGTCAGGCCAGGCGTCACTCAAAACTAACAAAAGCGGTATTAATTCATTTCTGTATAAACTCTCATTTTAATGTTTTTAAGTTATTTCCCTCTAAAAATACTAATTTAAAAAAAAAGATTCTGAAGTTTAATTCTGATTCAAATTTCTGAGAGGAACACAGCAGGACTAAACAGCACCTCCTGCAGTGTTATTGCTGTGTTTCTCTGGGCAACTTATGGCTGGAATGCTGAGACCTAAAACTAAGATTAATCTAAAATTAAGCAAAAAATTCCCTATTCTGGGTCAAAGGTCAAGAATATTACTGTGAATAAAGTAACTCAACAATGAGGAGATTCATTCGGACGATTGTTAACGGGTTGAGTATTGGTCAAGGAAGAGCTGTTTAATATCTAAAATCTGAATATTTAAGACAATGCAACAAAGGTAACAATACTTCACGAATAAAGCGACCATATGTATAAAGATAGATTAGCCCAATTTAGTGACCACTCAACTGGAACCTGATTCACAGAGCAAAGATATGAGTACTGAGGGGAAAAAATAGAATATGTGAAAGAACTGCGAAGAGGATGAGGAATTAAGAGAACAGAGAAAGAAGAGGAGTGAGACTTATAGGCAGTAACATGAGAAAGGCAAGATTGAGACAGTTTAGCCATGTGGTACAATGAGAGGAGGGGAAGCGGTGGGGGGGGTGACTAAAGGAGCCTGGAATGAGTTAATCAGAAGGGAAGATCATGGAAGACAGATGTCCAGATGGAAGGATGTGGGTAAGAGGGAGTCAGTACACAACATCAGACTATGGGTGGAGGCTGCTGGTGGAGGGACGTGGCTGAGAGAGCAGTGTTAGCTAAACTTTTAATCTTGATCTAAAACAGTAGTCCCAATCATCATGTTTGTCTTGTCCTGTAAGTGTAATCTTTGGAGTTTTGTCTACAATTAATCATTCTATCTTGACGACCAAGTAACCCACCTCAAGAACTCCTATCATATACATTAATGATCTGAAGGTTTAAAAACTATTAACCTACAGTGAAGTTGATGGGTTAGTAAGGTGATACCCATATCTTTGATACAGCATTAAACTTATTTTCATTGTTTTCACATTACAATAAGATAGTTCTAACTTGCATAAACTACTTGGTATGACAACTGACACTAAATTAAGTGTCTATACTATAATTTTGAGTGAAAGAAATGGAAACCTCATCGACCTGGCAGTAATTATTACATTACAGGCTGGTAATTTTACCTAAGACTGTGATGAAGTTTGAAGGTTCAGATAGTTTATCTACTTCACTGATGTGAAAATAAAAATTTTGCTCAAAATATTTATGAGCTGTGGTGTCTCAGGTTTACCTCGACACAATATCTGCTACAGGAGACATAGGTCACGGTCCAACTGATGCAGAGGAAAACCTGCTCCTTATGAATATCAGGGAGGGGATGGAGGACACCATACAATATTCACTACCCAGGTGTTGTTAGGCTGAACATACAAACCCGGATAATGAAGGGGAAGGCCTGAAAATATTGATGAGAGAAAAGCATAGGATGTACAGGCTAGTGGAGGGGTGATGTAAAGGTTGGAATGTCTGGGGATAACACTAACTGCTGAGAGGGAGGAAGATGTAAACATTTACATTTCCTGAGAGGACACTAAGTTGCAAGGGAAGATGAAAACACTGAAACATGTAGAAGAGACAATGAAATGCAGGGACACTAAATTTGCTAAGAGGGGAGGACACTGAAAATGTAGGAAATAAAATGTAATAGAGGCAATATAACTGTATTACAAACTGGCCATGCATGATATAAAACAGGATATAAATACATGTCTTTACCACAGGATAACAACACAGGGGCTAGGAAGAGTCGAGAATGTTCGTAAAGTTGGCGTGTGCGCGACGCAACAGTACAGGGTAAACAACACTAATGTGTAGGCAGTATGAGGAACAGGACATTTGTTTTACTGTTATTACTATTTACATTATTCACAACAATTATTACTGCTTCAGTAATTGATCACGATACTAGACATGTCCTTGGGGGTTGGGGGTAGAAACTACTGAGAAGAGACTGGAAGACTCTCATGTGTGAGTGGTGAATATCTAATTGGTAACATAATCTAGCCAGGCCCACCCTTTTTATTCAAATTGGCTCGCGAAAGACCAAAATGTTTTATGACGTGACCTGAAGCTCTACAGATGCATGTCACATGACGTGACCCGAAGCCTTAGGGTTAAAAAAAACAAAAACACTTTAAATGTTAATAGATAAAACTCAAAAGCTTGTATAGAAGGCCGGCTTCCTTCCCAAAAGAGAGGACATCCCCTGCCACGCTGCCCACCCCCAGACTAAATATGATGATGCTGGTTTCCTCTTTCTTGTATTAATTGTTTACATCCCCATCTCTACCTGCCTCGTTCCTTTTTCCTATCCTTAACTTTCTATGATCCTGTCAGACACACACACATTATTCTCCAATTTCTTCTTCTCTTAACAACAACTCTTATGGTTATCACACAATTATTCACCAGTGAACTATTACTTCAACGTAATTTTCTCATACCTTAGTTAATGGTTCTTACACTGATGTATATTTCCTTAAGCGTCAATATTAGTCACCATACACAAACCAGCATCATTGAGTAACATTTACCAACATCATTAACCCAATACTGTGTCTGTCCACAGCGGTTATTGTCACCTCACACACCAGTATCCTCTGTGGCAGGACTTCCCTTTTTCTTCTTCTGGTCCTGTTCACTGTAGGGGACACACCAGCCATCCTCATTGGTGATGATGATGGGGATGTTGGTGGCAGGTGCTCCTTCTCCCTCGCCAGCCTTACAGTCAGTGTCGGAGGCGAGGTCCAGTCCTGAGCGGGGACCGCCCTGCCTAGCCTGCTCAGCTCGCTTCTGTAGTATACATGTATGTCTTAGCTCATACGTTGCTGCAAAAAAATGGAGTAGCAAGTCTGGGTAACAAGAGAAGAAAAAGACTTGTCTTCTTGGAAACATCTTTCTACATTATAGCCAAGGGATCACCTGAAAATTAACCCCCAGCTTATTACACCTGATGATTAAACAGTCTCACACTACCTAGAGGGGTTAGGTTAGGTTAGGTTAGGTTAGGTTACCGTTAAGATGAAACAATCTGGGGCTAATCTTCAGCTGATCCCATTTAATGAATACAGAGGCGAGCGTGGTCAAATTTTATTGAAAGATGACCATCATTTATTGATAATTCAGAAATAAGATCTGCAAGTTCCAAAAATAAGTAAGACAAAAAGTTGATTTAAATAAACCTAGTTATAAGACAGACTTGTGAGCTTTCCAAAAGATGAAAATATTACGGGGACCCAAACATGCCATTATGATAGTGGAGAAAATATATTACAGTATTACATAAACCTACAAATAATTAAAATATCTTTCAATGAAGAATTTAAATTATTACAACAGAACAAGCATAATAATTCAAAGCCCAGATATAAACACAACCAACATCTTCTACATGATTAATCCCTTGAAATAATACATAATAATATTTTACATTCATATAAATTATTTATATCTACTCTACAGTGTTGCCATAACCTCCACCCCAGAGGAAGGAGACCCCCCCAGACCCTCTCATCGTTTGGACGATTCATACCTATCAACATTGTTCTCTCATATAACGTGTGTGTGTGTGTGTCTCCCAGTACCTGATATTCCTCCATCTTCACAGCCCAGTTCACCTTGCCAGTTCACATTCACCAGTTATTTCATGATTCTCTTCTAAAATCCTACCTCAAGACACAGGTAGTACTCAAGACACAGGTAGTACTCAAGACACAGGTAGTACTCAAGACACAGGTAGTACTCAAGACACAGGTAGTACTCAGGTCACAAGTAATACTCAAGACATAGGTAGTACTCAAGACACAGGTAGTACTCAAGACACAGTTAGTACTCAAGTCACAGGTAGTACTCAAGACATAGGTAGGCAGTACTTCAAGACTTAAGACAGTACTTCAAAGCTTAGAAAGTACCTCAAGATTTAGGTAATACTTCAGAAAAAACTGGTAATACTCATACTGAACGGTTGTAGTGTACAGGCGGGGGGTCCCATGAGAGCCGACGGGACACGATGCGGTGGACACACACAGCTGTTACCACCACGGAGAGCACGTTGACTGCCACCACCACAGCCACCACTAGCACCGTGTTCACCTGTAGCACACAAGGGGTAAATGAGAACACGGTGATGTAAGAGGGAAGAAAGGAAGGAAAGTGGTGGTGGTATTCTTAGTGAGAAACTATGGAAGGGAATGTTGGAGAAGGAAATGTTGGAGAAGGAAATGTTGGAGAAGGGAATGTTGACGACATATAACAAACATAAATAAGGTGGTTTTAAAGATGCCGAGGCACCTATAAAGAGGAAAATATTTAGTACTCATGGAAGATGACCAACGTTGATAATTTGTGAAAACGTGTGAAAATTTATTGTGACCATTTAGAATGTACAACAACATTTACTACAATCGAGTTATTCCTCAATCATTAGAAATAAATTATTTAAATCAACACCCCAAGCGACAATATATAAAATTCTTGTATCTTATAAATTAATTAAACACACAATTTAAACAGGTACACTACGTTATGTCAATCAAGCTTCTTTAAAAGTCGGATTCTTTTATTTCAACAGTACAGTTTCATTCCTCAGCTTGTTCCATGGTCAGGAGAGAGACTAACAGGAATATTCAGAAACTCAATAAAGGATCCACCGAGTACAACCTGACCCGGAGGCCACAGACCCCTAGGTTTATTAAGGTCACAGGTAAGTAAACTGTTTTGTGATGTTCTGTACCTTCAATCAGGTTGACGGTAATTTGCAAAATAATTTTCAAGATCAGTTGATATGAGGTGTTGCAAACTTTCCCTGTTCAGTTTACTTACTGTCATCCATGCCAAGATTACAAGGGAAGCAATATGTTGTACAGAAAAAAGAGTGATTCTTATGATGCATAGGATATTGGAATTAATTATCATTGAGACAAAATCTTTTAGTCGGAGTAGAAGTAAATACAAAACATTTGATGGCGACTTTGTGTCTCGCATCACTAAGCCAACTTAACTACGGTGTTCCTCGTTTCCTCCGTCCTAAACTACAGCTGAACTGTCTCTCTGTGTATGGGTGTGAATATTCTTGTAGCCTCACTTTCTACTTACAACTAATGACGATCCAACATAGACTATTATATCGAAATAAGTTTTATATTTTATTATGTATTTGATATGCAAATTACAAATTCGCGTTGTGGTTAAATCATACAAATACAGTACTTAGTCTAAAGTCAAAGTCCAATTTAATTCCCAAAAGTATTATATCTATATCTGATAACAATTATGTAATGCACATCTGATGGAAACTAAACATAGATACATTTATACTTACTTCTGCTTCACCAAAACAACCACCAGAACTGTCAGCAGTAACTGTAGTACTGACAGGTCCTGACGAAGATGGGCTGGGTTCAGTCGACGTGGAGTGTGGCAAAGTTGATATTGTGTGAATTTCTGTCTCTGTGGTTGAGGCATCACTTGGTGTCACTGTCGAGTTCATAGGTGCTGCTGTGCTCGAGCTTATATGGAGTTCTGGATGCCCACCTTCCTCCGGGGTAGTCTGTGGCAGGGTGGAGGTAGTGGCGATGAGGGGTGGGACCTCTGAGGAACTTACAAAACTCACTTGCGTTCAGTGAGGTCATGTCTTCATCTGGAACAGGTTCAGGAGAAGAGTCTGGTAATGAGGCTTCAGTTGAATGTTCCTCATCGAGTGGTAAAGTGTTGGCTTCCTGGTTTATGGTGTTTAAGGATGAGGAAGGCGTTGAAACAACAGCGAAGGAAGGTTCTCGTTCGACTTCTTCATCACCGACAGCTGGCTCAATAGTCGAAGAATGTGGTGATGGGGATGATATGTCATTTGTATCAATCTCTGAGCCCACGTTTAGCAGCACGGTCTCCTGTGTGGTAGTGGCGTCTAGTTGCCTGTCATCGGTGTCAATAGCAGGGGTCACTGTGGCAGCCTCTGACGCTAGTGAAGTATCAGATGTATCTCGTGACCGTTCTGTTGTGGTAACTGTGGATATTTCACTTGTAGTCATAGTCTCATTCCCCTCACTATTAGGCATAGAAGTGACGGCAATGGAATGTTCCGAGACAGGCCCCGGGGCAGGGTCTGAGCCAGGCCCCGAGGCAGTGTCTAAGCCAGACCCCGGGGTAGTGTCTAAGCCAGACCCCGGAGTAGTGTCTAAGCCAGACCCCGGAGTAGTGTCTAAGCCAGGCCCCGGGGAAGAGTCTGAGCCTGGTCCTGGAGTAGTAACATCAGCTGCGAGGGCCTCACCATCTACTGTAGTGCCTCCATGTATCTGAGCCTGAGTGAGGGACTCCAGCAGCAACAAACTGACTGTGAACAGACGAGAAGAACAAGTAATAAACATAAACCAAAAATCAACTTATCTAAAACTCTTAAGATACTGAGTGTTGCATAAACACTAACAGACATAATCACAAACACGACCTGTATGAGCCCGTGTCAAAGAATTATCCAACAAGACCAGGACGACTTACTAACTGCACTGGCTAACCATTATCCTGGAACACGATCTGCAAATCCCAATTACTGCTGGATAGACAGAGGAAAATAGCGTAAAGAAACCTGTCCATACAGTAGTTTCACCCTGTCTGAACCTGTGGAAGATGGGCGATAAAGCTAAAAGCTTAAGTTGTGTATCCTAATGCATAAAGCGCAAACCACTGTAATTAATGATAAGCTAATGATATATTACTCAACACTTGACACAGATATTATTTGACAAAATGTAATATTATGTTGTAGGGATTTTTTTTTTCATATGAAATTTCCTGCAGTTTATCCCGAAAAAGATAACTATTTTCTTTAACACCACGTCAACGTCATTTAGGAGTAACTTCATCATACTCTGTCTACTATTACGCGTAATATTCATTCAATCCTTGCCTGTTTAAATGTATTATATGCTGAATATCCAGTAACGCCCAAAAGGTAAACCATCATACCTTTTCTCTGTTGTCAGTCATAATTCGACCACAAATGTGAACAGAAGTTTTGGTTACCATTTCAGCATCAGTAACAGATCCTAGAGACGTTTAGTACATTGAGCTAGGCGCTGAGATACTGTGTTGGAAATATTATTGGATCAGTGAATTTTACGGACAGGCCATAACTCAGAATAGGCAGCCTGTGTAATCAACTCCAGTACTGTACTTCGTAATTCGCGCAGATGACAATGACAAGTAGCCATATATTACCATTTGTATCACATTACTTTTTCGTCACTTGTCAGCGTAGCAGCATATCGGGTGGTCGGTTAGGTCACTGATACGCTCTATTGGCAAGTACTGGGCGTGTACTAACTCTGGAATGTCTCTAAACGTGTGCCAGTGTCACAACAATCTCTGTCAGGTTATTCCACAAGTTCACAAATCTCACTCCGAAGTTAACTCTAATAGTTGCATGTACTGATAGCTTCATTAAATTAAGCTATGATCTCTAGTGGGACAGCTATCAACTCCAGGTACAGGTGTATATTAGACTAAATAATACTTTTTCACGTGCTTATATATTACTTTTTTAAACTACCCACCATCAAAATGAACACTAACACGAGTAATAAAAAAATAAGCATCAAATTTTGTTTTACGAGACAAGAAGGATATACAGTACAGTACAGTATATGTACTTATATACTGTTAGTGTTGTCTGTGGTACAGTTTTAATACACAACACCGCCCCTCACACCAGGACCCTAATACCAGGATCCTAATACCAGGACCCTCATACCAAGACCCTCTCACATTAGGACTTTCACATCAAAACCCTCTCACATCAGGACCCCTCAGGACCCTCATACTAGGACCCTCACAGGACCCTCATACTAGGACCCTCACACCAGGACCCTCCACCAACACCCCCACCCAGGACCCTCTAACCCTCACACCAGGACCCTCACACCAAGACCCTCATAACCTGGACCCTCACACCAAGACCCTCACACCAACACCCCCACCCAGGACCCTCACCAAGACCCAACCACTCCCACACACCAGGACCCTCAGGCCTCATAACCTGGACCCTCACACCAAGACCCTCACACCAAGACCTTCACAACCAAGACCTTCACAACCAGGACCCTCACACCAAGACCCTCATAACTGGACCCTCACTCAGACCTCTCACACCAAGACCTTCACAACCAAGACCTTCACAACCAGGACCCTCACACCAGGAAATGTCAATCCCCCTTCCCAGGTTGTGTCACCACCAGGCGGGCACCAGGATCCAGGGGAGTAACGTGACCCCTATGCCCACACACACACACATCACCTGCTGGAGTTGAGCCACCCAGGACATTGTTATATCCTTTTAGGTCTTGGCGCCACGTCTTCCGTCACAACTGGTGGTCAGTCAAATTTATCTTCTCTTTCTCGCATGTGTGTTGTGTACGTGTGAGAATATGTGTGTGTGTACGTGTGAGTATACGTGTGTGTGTACGTGTGATGCCGTGTGTGTGTGTGTGTGTCGTAGAGTATACGTTGAGTCGCCGCCTCGTTTTAGCCAGACTTCACCTACTCACCGTCAACAAAACACTTACAAAACCTTCAGTACCTTCGAGGCTTTGAATGTTCCAAGAGATAAACCTTATTTTGCTTTTGATGTAAATTAATAATGTTTTTGTTCCTAAGTTTTTATAACTTTGTCTCCATAAAACTACAGGACTTTTGCTTGTCAATAACTGTGTACTCTTGCTGTGACATCCACTTACATGATATGTTTTTTTCAGAATTATTTCAAACAAGTGATTCATTTCAAACTCTAGTCAGATATATTCAATGACCGATACATAAAGCCATAAAGTTTACCAGTACTTTTGTCCAAATTTTGTTAGTTAAAAATTTTCTTATACGAATGAAAAAAAATGGTCGCAGTATTATACAAGCAATTTCCCCGCCACTAAATTACGATTAATCGAAATGTGTAAAAATTGTTGTAACGCGCTCGGCTGAGTTGGTGTTACCAAATACTTGTATGCTAGAGACAGTGGTGACCATATGTCACCCTGGTAGTAAACATCCTTCGGTATTATTTTCCTTACGGTCCATAATCGTTTTGATAATTACAAAAACACACGTTGTTCCGACGGTTTAGACAATTCTAAGACATTTTTCTTCTACGACGTTTCCCTCGCAAATGACTTTATATGCCGGAAGGATCTAGGGGGCGGAGCCCCCGGCTAGATTAGGTAATTTTTAGGTTATATGCAAGGGAAACGTCAGAGAAGAAAAATGTCTCAGAATGGTCCAAACTATCGGAAGAACATTGTGTTTTTTACTTATCAAAGCGATTGTGGACCATAAGAAAAATGTACCCACCCTTTATCCTGGCATTCCCCGTCTTCACTATCTTCTTTAACCTTTGCCTGTATCCACTTCACACAGCTTTCTTCTGAATTCTAAAATTTTCTCTCATTTCTCACATATCCTTATGACACATTCCCTATTTCTTGCAATACATTAAGCTACTACACGAATAATGGAGGGAGGTAACTAGTCTGTGTTGGTGGCTCTGAGGGTTGGCGACGGTAGCCCTCCAGTAAAAACGTTTTAGGGACTGTCTTTATCAATCTGTCCTTGCTTTGTTTTCCCCGGAGACCACAGCTTATAACTTCCTTCACCTATCCCTGTCCCTGCCTAACCCTGGCCCTCCTACCCTTAGTTCTATCCATCAATAACACCCGCATGAACAGTCACCCATCACTAGTATTAGCTACATGACTCTTAACTCATCCAATGACTCACGTACTAATGTGGATGAACATACAAACCGCTACAGATTAATGAATCTCTATGGGACTCCAGTATAGGTCATGGCTTCATTTGAAGAGAATATTGGGCAGTGGGTATTTTCCCGTGACCGGTTAAGTTCCTACTAACGCCATTTAACCGCGAATGCGCTCTGATTGCCCAGTCGTCCATTACCGGGCGAATAACGCGAGAACGATACGTGATCGTGACTGGTGGCACTTGGCATTTACTTCGCCGTGAATTGATCGTTGTGTAGCTGTAAACATACTTAACCAGAAGGAGTTGTTCGATTTTGTTCATTTAATAGAACCTAATAGAACCTGACCTAGCCATCCAAAGAAACCTAACCTTACCTAACTTCCTAGCCGGGGGCCGGACACCCTCCCCCCACCCCCTTCATATAAAACAGGAAGTACTTAGGCAATCAGAGCACACTCACGGTAAAATAGAGTTAGTAGGAATTTAGCCGGTCACGGCAAAATATCAGCTACGTAACAAATATAAAATTATTGAGACATTTATACAGACCTGCAGACAGAGACGACAGAGTAATTATCAACAAAAGACTCACACGTCGATAGTAGTAACTAAAGCAACACACGCGACACAGACACAAGAGTCATCCGAGAGGTAGATGTCGGTACCAAAAGGTTTAATTGGAATAGCCAGTCAAGCTACGACAACACAAGATACATCAGAACTCGTCCACAGTGTTTACCAATACAGGACACAGCCGGAAAACACCAGGAAATACGAGTAGCTGGCAACCAGAAACGCGACACTCCTGCCCTCTGTCCCTGGACGGACACACGACTCTCTACCAGCACCGCCACAACAACCAAAGACTTTATACTGTACGTCTTTGACCACTACCACCACCTGGATCCTCCAAGACTTTTAACTTTCTTGCTTGATAGGAGAAGGAAGTCGGTGGCTTGCCATCCTCCTATTGATCCTGGCGAGTTTGTCCTTCAAATTGATATGTTAATCCCCGTCTCTCTCTTAACTGGAAATAGATATCCCATACATTTACAGTTGGAACCAAGGAATATTAGATATTCCTTGATTGAATACCAATTTAAGTGCCATCATCCCCTTATGGATTGAAGCACCCCTATGTGTTTATCACCTCATCGGTAGGGGTAAACTTAACCCCTTGTGTACCGTGATCTAACCCCTGATGTACCATGATTTAATAGTAGTAAAAATAAAAATAACAAACAGGTGTGATAGAGAAGTATCGGTAACTACTAGAGAGTTCTTCAGAAACAGTAACTAGCAAGTGGTGATGCGTAACGGCTAGAGGTCAAGAGGTCTGACGGTCGAGACGATTTACGATAATTTCCTTTTATTATTATTTTTGTTATTATTTGTTATTATTATCATTATTATTATTGTTGTTCTTATTATTCTTTTTACTCACATTACAGTTACATAAGGGGTTAGATCACGGTACACCAGGAGTGAAGAAAACAAACCTATGACAGCTACACCTCCTTGGTCACCCTTCACAATGATCCTCAAAATCTGGTAAGTTAAAATTCCTGCAAGTAAAGATGCGAG